AAAACAGAGAGAATTCAGGAAGATTACAAAAACTCTGACCAAAATGTTGCAATGAAAATGGATCAAAACTAAGATTTAAATACTATTTCTTGCTTTCGACTTTGGTTATTTTTGTCATTTTACTTTAAACACCTATTTTTGTGTATGCAATTTTAACTTTCATTTCCAATTTATTTTCATTTCTTTGCCTTATAATTTTAGCATGATTTCCCGACTAAATTTATAGTGTATATAAAAACCACTCTAAGGAAAAATTATGTATGGTATTTGTGCCCTCTCATTTTAACTCTTTTCCCTATTCTTTTGATTCTAATTGTGTAATTTAAATACAAATTTTCTCTCTCCTCATTTCTCTCCTCATTTCTCTCTTCTCTCCCTCGCGATCACACCCCTCTAAATTCCCCTCTCCCTTCATTTATGCCATAATACCTTTTAGTGTTTCATCTTCCTATTTCAATTTTGCCATATACTATGAATAAGACTATAATTAGAAGAATTATTAATGCTTCATTATCTTTATTCCATTTAACTTCTAAAAACTCTTTCATTTTCTTCATCTTTTCCATATATATATATATATATATATATATATATACACATAGTGGGTGAGATAAATACAAAATGCAAAGGGAAGAGCACTAAAAAGTTGCGAGAAAGTGAGATTTTCGTTCACACCATACTTAACCAAAGGGCATAGTAGAAGTCGTTACAGGGAAGACAAACGGCATAACAGTTGTAGTCGAGGTCGCAAAATGTTGTTGCTTTAAACTTGTATGCTAGGGGCGCGATCAAGAGAGGGAACGGTAGTGGCAAACCAGAAGGAGAAAGCTGTTGAGACAGTAGCGGCACTGGATAGAAGAAGAAGATATATAGTGAAAGGCGATACACGCGTGAAGGGAGAGGAGAGAAAAATAGGTTTCTATAATTTGTGCATTTAGGTTTAGAAATACAAAATCCTTGTAGTCGGGCTTTGTTATTAGCTGAAGTTTATGGTTGAGCTACATATGATAATATTGGGTCGGTATAGGTAAAAATAGGTGAGAACTATAGTAGGTAATTATTCAGTAACTTTCAAACTTCTAATTTAGAAATAAAGTCCAATAAATAATGTATTGTATTAATATATATAAAACAATTATTAATTTCATTAACATGTTTAAATTCAGTTTCAATTTTGTTGAATAATTAATTATCCTTTATTTTTAAATTATAATTACAAAAAAATTGTAAGTAAATAATATATTGTGATATTTTTTGATGATAAATAAAGAATTATAATTAATCCCGATAAAATATTTTTATAAAAAATTATGATAAAATATAATACGTAGTTCAGCATTCATGCAACCTCGTATGTGTTGATTTAAATTCCAATAAAAAAATATTCATATGAAAAAAAAAGAATTATCTAAAATATTCACATAAATAAATAATTAGGAATCGTAAAAGGTACCATAAATAAATGAATAGAAAATATGTTTAAATCAATATTTTGTATTAATTAAAATTAATATAATATAATACCAATACCTAAAATATTTGTATAATAATAATAAAATGTTGAAACCAACATCTTCAATTTTATAAAATTAGGTTACGTTATAATTTATCATTTATTTTAATTAATTTTTTTGTACTTAAAAATAAAACTTTCGAGTTCCACGTGCATCGCACGTGTTTCTTACTAGTTTCTTAAAATATAACTATAAATTTGTATTAAAGGATTTTCAACGGGTGTAAAATTTGTAGTCAGTTTTTAAAAGTATAGGGCTCGAACCTAGATTTTCAAACAAACTTCTTGCCACTGCGCCAACACCCGAGGGTGCCATAGCTGGACTAGTTAAGGTATTAATTATCTCCTCAAATATCTTACGTCCAAGTCTCTTAATTCATTTGTTAAACTTATTAATAATAATATATAAAAGAAATCTTAATACAAGATTTTGAGAATCTAATATCCTAGATGTACAACAAGAAGGGGAAAAAAGGTCCTACCATTTTTTACGTTAGAAAAAATTATAGAAGAGGACTGAATAACTCATTAAAATTTTTGAGATACTAAAATAAAAGTTCTTAAAACTCTGGGAGATTAAATTAAAAATGGAAGAAAAGAGCCTGTGAAATTGTATTTTAACACATTAAATTTGATCCACCCAGTTGGAGGAGGAGACCAGGGAGATTCGGCATTTCCAAACCTCGATTACTAATTCTGATTCGAAGACTTTGGGATAGAACTGTACCTAATTTAAACAACGTCATCACATAAATTACTTTTTTTCTTTTCTTTTTTTTTTTTGAGAAATTATCACATAAATTACTTAAATCTTAATGATTTATAGATTTGTCAAAAAAAATAGAGTATGAGACCCAGGTGAAAATTACTAAGGTAATCGTGTTCATATATTTTAATAAATAAATCACAAATAAGGAAAAAACTAAATTTTTTTGTCACCTCCCATATATGATTTTTACTCCTAAAATCATGTTTACTTCAGGAAATCATTTTTTTATTCTCTTTTATGGTATTTACCAAATTGTTGGAATGGGAATCAAATGGTGGGACCTACCAACTTTTTTCATTCTCATTCCCTAAAAATGGACAATCACATTCTTCTACACCTACCCCTCATCGATCTCATTCTCATTCCTTATTTCGTGGGTTCCACATATTTATTGCATCCACTTTTCTATTTTTAGATCCATCCATAACTTTTTATTTAATTGTTTTATACTTTTTATTTCTTTTTATTTATACTAATAATAATTTTTCTTTTAGTAAAAATTATATCACTTTTATTAGTTATTATAAAATATTTAATATTTAATTTTTTTAATTTAATTTTGTTATTATTAAGTAATGTCAAATTTTCTAAAATATAATTCATTATTATTAATTATTATAATGATAACATTATTTTTAAATATTATTATTATAATATTTTATATTAAATGACGATGGTTCTCATAAAATAGTATTTTAGTGGATGTAATTTTATTTTTATTATTTATTATTTATTAATATTAATATTAAATAAATTGTTTTGGTCAAAAAAATATCTACTATCAATAATATAGTAATAAAATAAATTAAAATAAATTTTGAGATACCCATACGAGAGGCATCTAATGAATTTTAAATGCTTTTTGAAACATGAGTTTGCAAGATTCTCATGTTGAGAGCATCTACTCTTTACATTTTTGCCTTTCATTTTTTTCTATATATTTTATTTCGTTAATTTTCTTTATTTTTTCTTACAAAAATTATTTATTTTTATTTTTAAATAAACTAATGTACTCATCGTCTAATAAACAACTTTTACGACCAACATACCTATGATATTTTTTAGATACCCATACGGGAGGCATCTAATGAATTTTACATGCTTTTTAAAATATGAGTTTGCAAGATTCTCATGTTGATAGCATCTACTCTTTACATTTTTGCCTTTCATTTTTTTCTATATATTTTATTTCGTTAATTTTCTTTATTTTTTCTTACAAAAATTCTTTGTTTTTATTTTTAAATAAATTAATGTATTCATGTCTAATAAACAACTTTTACGACCAACATACCTATGATATTTTTGAGATACCCATACGGGAGGCATCTAATGAATTTTACATGTTTTTTAAAATATGAGTTTGCAAAATTCTCATGTTGAGAGCATCTACTCTTTACATTTTTGCCTTTCATTTTTTCCATATATTTTATTTAATTAATTTTCTTTATTTTTTCTTAAAAAAATTCTTTATTTTTATTTTTAAATAAATTAATGTACTCATCGTCTAATAATTAATTTAATATGAATTAATTTTTTCAACAAAATATCATATAAAAACAAAGTATTAAATTACTTCAAATAGATCTATTATATTAAATGAATGCATAAATTATATGAATATTCGTAAAGACATTTTTGAAACATTCTATAAATTTAACACATTCCAAGAATAAATCCTCCAAAAGAAACGTGACTATCTTATTGGTAGACGCCACATTCTCAAAAAAAAAAAACAAACGGCCTCTAAGAGTTTAAATAAGTGGAAAGAAATACAGAAAATTAGTTTTAAGTAGCTTCACTTATACTAGATATATGGCATTACAAATGAATTAGTTTGTGATACCAAAACTAAACCGAGTATAACTTTACGGGATAAAACACCTGTCTCCGATCAAAATGTCATCTATACTTTGTTGCATACTCCATTTTAGTCTCAAATGCTTTTGATTTTGGACATGAAAAAAAAAGGCTAAAATCTTTATTCTCTAAAAAAATCTTTCCTTTTACCTCTATACATTCCCACACAAAATGAGAATTCAAAACTGCTACCATCTGATTACTATTGAAATCAACAGTTTATAGATTTGGATTATGCGCACATGGAGAAATATTTGGTTTTTCAAATCAAAATTGATGCTCAAATCCATTAAATTCATGCCTCCAAGTTCCAAAATAGTGAGCTCGGAATTTGACAGAAATAGAAAAACTCGAAACTATGTTTCGAGAGTTGAAGCAAAGAAAAAGAGAAAAACTCCCTTCGCTCACACCATGATTTTATATTTACAAATACTATTTTAATGTTGGTGAATTCCACAATTTTTTAATAATATGATGAAAATGTACAAGTAGCGAATGAAATAAATATTCATGCTCTTATAGTACCCAGAAATTTTTCCTCGAGGAAAACTCAGTCTTCTTTGTTGACTTTTCACTCGTTCATCCACGTGGCATATGAAAAAAAAAAAAGAGAAAAAAAATAACACCCATGTCAGGTGATAGTTACAGAAACTAACAAGGACTCTTTATAACCTTTATCTAAAGCAACCGGGACTAAATTTGACATCTCTAACCAATTTAAAAGATAGCATCAAAACAAATTAATTTTGAGTACTTTATTTTGAAGCAAAACTTTCATTTTTTTTTTTCCTTTTAATTTAAAATTAGAGAGAAAGAAAAAAAAATAACTACTAAACCTATTTCTATTTTTTTCAATGAAATAGAAAGAACAATAAATCGGAAAGAATTAGTCAACATATTTCTTAAAAAGCAAAAAACGAGAAAATTAAATAACTATACAGAAAAACCATTCACCTAACGTACAATTTCTGATGAACTACATATTTGTTTACACTAAAAAGTAAGGAGAATCTCCAAGTCTTGCAATCAATTTCCACCGGAAATCTTGAAGGGGTCTCGAAAAATAGGTGCAAGTTCAAAGAAATTTTACCTCAAATTCTTCATATATCATCAATCTGGATCATAGATGATCAAAGGGATGAGAAAATTGGAATACCAGGTAGTGTGGCTCCGGCATCAACAATGAAAATGTTGCCCGAGACATATTCAGAAGAGTCATGCACTAGATACCGGATGAGTGTTGTTAATGCTGGATCAGAAGTTCCATATGTTTTTAAAGGGACAATTCTTTGTACTACATTCTTAAGCCAATTTTTCTGCAAGAGATCCTTTGTAATCTCGGATTTAAAAATTCCGGGTGATATGGCGTTCACTCTGATCTTGTGGGCTCCTAATTCCATAGCCATAACCTGTTACCATATATAACTTCTTTGAAAGGAAAGTTAAGTAAATGAAACCACACACTAGTAGCACAATGCGTGCATAAATTCAAAGCAAACCATAGATGACTGACTAATGGTAAAAATCAACGAGAAAAAATCATGAGAAGGGTATTTGGCTCACAAATTGTGTTTATATAGTATAATTTTTTGTCTTCTTAAGAACAAACACGTGGGGGTGGAGAATCGAACTTCCAACCTCTTGATTGGAGATATATACCATTACCGTTAGATTATAAAGCTATGCTCGTTTTGGCTTATATAGTATAAAATTATAAAGCTAGATTTTGTTATTCACACGTAATGAGTTTTCTAATTCCATAGACTACAGACTAAACTTCTAAAACTCGCCTTCTTAAGTTACACACTTTTTTTTATTTATTTTTGTTTTTTTGATAACTTGGAGTTGGAACTTTGCTCCCCGAAAGGTTCGAAGTTGAGACATCTAAACTTAATATAACCAAGAAATCCAAGTCTTTTGCCAACCAGACTGCTACCTAGAGGGGCTAAACTATTTCTAAATTATAACCCTACATAGTACACATTTCAGACCCAAAGCTACATACATAAATACTTCCTAACTTCAAATTACACAAGCTCAGACAGATTAAAATTCCAAGTCAAACATCCTCATGGTATCCAAAGAGCAAAATCTAGTCAATACAAAGAAACATTACCTTTGTCAAAGTGTTTAGGCCTGCCTTCGAAGTAGCATAGGCGACGCATCCGGGGAGATGCCCTCTATCAAGACCACCAATTGAAGATATATTGATGATGGATCCACTTCGATTGGAATGACGCATGTGCATACATACATACTTTGATACCAACCAAGACCCTTTAAGATTTGTGTCCAGCACTTGATTCCATTCCTCTTCAGGTAAATCCAGTGGAGACTTCACCGTGCCTATGAAAGAATGAAATGGTTGTGGAAATACAGAGTTCACAAAATATACTCTGTCGTGAATCAAAATGAAGGGAAAAATCTAAAGCCAAGATGATGAATTAGAATGGCCTTCTAGTCTCTATACGTAGTGACTTATTCTATTTTAGTCCATGTACTTTCGAATGTCGAAAATTTAGTCATTTCACATTTAATAAACTTTAAAACTTTAGAAATAGTCCCACAGCTAACAATGGTGACTCTTTTTAACATTTATTGGGAGTACAGCTCTTGAAGTACAATCCATCACAAATATCAGGCTCATTGTTTTTTAGACCAATTCCAAGATCCCATAATTCATAAATCAACCCTTTCTTGAAGATCAGGTTATTCAGAAATCAATCCATCAAAAGCACCCCCCCCCCCCCCCCCATTTTGCTGCAATGAAGTGAATCTCAACAGTTCCTGTTATGAAGGCATTCTAGAATCGAGCTCCCTAGACTTGAAGTTCCGATCAGAATCTACTGAAATTCGAATTTCCGACTTAAAATTGACTTCCCCTCGACCTAAATTTCCTCCAGAACCAAACAGAAAATTAAGTAGGAACGAAGAAATTTACCTCTCAAACCAGCATTGTTAACCAAAGCTTCGATGAATCCGAAAGAATCCCAAGCTTGTCTCACGCACTTCTCGATACTCTCTCCATCGGCGCTGATATCCAGCTCCACCGCCACTGCTCGGGGGCTCTCCACCGCCGCAATAGAAGAAGCAGAGGAGAAATTTTCGAATCCATTAATCTCATCGCAGAGAGATCGGAGTCTATCTATACGGCGAGCGGCGGCGATGATTTTGCATCCAGCTCTGGCAAGATCCACACAGAACTCACGGCCAAGCCCCGATGAGGCTCCGGTCACCATCACCACTTTACCGTTCAAGTCGTTCCACGGCTCCAGCAGAAGAGAATCTCGGCGGATCGCCATTACTTCCGATTTCGGAGCAATGAATGGAGGAAGAAGCATATGGATTTTCAAGAATTCTCTTCCAAGACAAAAACAAAAACAAAAAGGATAATATACTAGATGGGCATAAAAGTTATAATACTTTATTAAACGGCAAGGAATTTCATGATATCCCTTTATTAAACGGCAAGGAATTTCTATTGAGACCAGCTATTGAAGAAATATTAATGATGGATCCACTTCGTTTGGTTTCACCCATGTGTATGCACACATACTTTGATACTAACCAAGATCCTTTGAGATTTGTTCCTACCACTTGATTCCATTCTTCTACAGACAATTCTAATGGAGACTTCAGGGTGCCTGTGATAAAAATAAAGTAGTTACAGTTCATAAAATACTTTGAGATTTATTCTACTTTAGTTTTTGTATTCTAAAAATGTTTAAATTTAATACCTTTACCTTCAATTCATTTTCAAAATGGTACCCATGGTTAGTTTTTAGTTTTAGGTTAATTTCCATTGAATTAAATTGGTTAACTTCCAAATGTCTTTTTTGTCAAAAAAAAAAAAATCATAGGAAATTAATTTTTAAAATAATTATTTGTTTAAAATTTCAAATTTGTCTGTTTGTTTCCTCTCATTTTTACCTTAAAATTTGAGAAATTTTGTTTTTGAATTTTTAAAATGTGTGTCATTCTCTAACTTTATTTATTTTTTATAATTTTTTCTCTAAATTTTTTTTGTAAATCTTTAGTTATAATCTCGCTTCTAAATTTATTTCCCTGTCTCAATTTTTGTCTCTACCTCTCTAACTTTGTTGTTATCTCACTTTTTTTGTTGTGAAATTATTATTTTAAACTTCAAATATTAATCCTTCAAAAATCACTTTTAATTATAAAATCATTTGAAATAGTATGTAACCAAAGATAAAATAATTATATAAAAATCATTTTTACTAAATCAATTATCATTAAATCTCTGTGGCTAAAATCACTTATTCTAAAATCTTTCCAGCACAAATCCTATAAAGTATCATTTAAAAATATTATTGATCAATCATTTTAAATCACTATTTAAGTGTGAGTTTCACCTATGTTTTAGTTTAAACATTTTTTATTAATACATTTTTAACATAAATACTTTCAGTTATGTGTTTGGTTACATCCTTTTTTAAAAGTGCCTTTTGTCTAGTTGCACTAAATTTGAAAGTGATAAACTCACCACAAATATGTTTTTTTTTTCTCTCTCGCTACATACTTTATTTCCATTTAATAATTACTTTCTACTCACTTTTTTGGATAAATTACTTTTTCGGTGTTTCTCCAAAAAAAAAGTATTTTTAAGTCAATAAGATATTTCTAAAAATGCTTTTGATTGAAAACCAAACACTATAGATAAAAAAAAAAGAAATAAATGCTTTTATTCACTTAAAATCATTAATACTTTTATTCATTTAAAATCACTTACAAGAATACTTTTATAAAATTATAAAATAATAATAATAATAATAATAATAATAATAATAATAATACTTTAAGTTAGTAATTCTTCTAAAAGTATTTTATAGAAAGAGTGTATTTACTTTTAAAAAAAATATTTTCTTCAAAAAGTCAGTCCATACTCACAAACATACACGAATTAACATGTTTCTTATTGCCCATCATTAAACTAAAGAAAATAGGGCGAGAAAATTTTTAAAAATAGAAAGAAAATTTTCAGAAAAAGAAATGACTATCAAATATCAAATTTATAGTAGTAATAAGATTCAGATGCTAAACAACAATCTCACTATTATTTCATACCTATCTTAAAGGTTTTCGTTAAAAGTATTTTAAAACCTATTTGATTTTTTAAAAACTTGTTTTTATTTATTACCAAACATAATATAGATTTGGAAAAAAAAAACTTTGTGCCTTTTTAATCTTAATTTATTAATAGAAAATCAAAATATGAGTAAATTAAAAAAAAAAAAGTAATTTACTTTAGAATTTTGTAAAAATAAAATTGGAACCAAGAACGAAGTAAGATAAGTGACCTCTAAAACCAGCATTGTTAACCAAAGCGTCGATGAATCCGAAACAATCCCAAGCTTTTCTCACGCACTTCTCGATACTCTCTTCGTCGGCGCTGATATCCATCTCCACCGCCACCGCCGCCGCCGCCGCCGCAGAACCAGAGCAGAAATTTCCGAACCCATTATTAATTTCGTGGAAGAGAGATCGGAGTCTGTTGGCACGGCGAGCGGCGGCGATGACCCTGCATCCGGCCCTGGCAAGATCCACACAGAACTCGCGGCCCAGTCCCGATGAGGCTCCGGTCACCATCACCACTTTGCCGTTCAACTCGTCCCACGGCTCCACCGGAGGAGAATCTCGCCGGACCGCCATAATTCCGATTGACGGCAAAGCCGACGGATTCAGCACTGAATTTTTTTTGTGTGTTTTCAAATATAGCATTTAACACCATAATTTAAGTTTAGCCCAAGTTCAAATATTAATATAAAATAGATTAAAATTATTTAATAGCCTATGTATGAGCTAGGTGATTTGATTTGGTTACAATAATGTTGGGCTAAATTACAAATTTAGTAAGTTCCTAAATTGTTAAAAGTTTTGTCTAATATATCAACCGGCTAAGGCACACCTATCCACTTTCAATTTTATGTTTAGTAGATACTTGATTTTTTGATATTTTTTTAAATTCATGGATTTAACTTTCATTTTTGTCACTAATAGGTTTGTAAATTTTTTAGAATGTTTAATAGGCCTGTTGGGCGACATAAAGTGATAAGAGAAGAGAGGCTATTAGGATCCAGAGAGGTATACCTCATATCTCAAAACCAATGAATCATACTTTGGAACCTCACTTAAATTTAACCTTAGTAAATGCCAAGTCGAGATATCAAATGAAACTACTCTCAACCATTCACCCACCACCACAGATCTCATGCATGGAACCCCACATGTCTAAAGCCTCCATAAATACAGAGTCATACTCCATACGCAAGGATGCAAGTTCAATCGTCTCAAGAACTTACCTCAGATTCTATTGACTTAAGTGTTCTTTTTCTTTCGATCTTTTTATACTCCATGTGAATCCAACCTCTCAGTTCTTTCAGCGATCAAAGTCACCATAAACAAGGTCAATGATCTATGTTAGACAAAACATTTAAAGTGTAGAGATCTATTATAAGATTGAAGGTTCATTTCTAGATTTTGAGTTTCCATGGCTTTATTTTGAATAATATAGCAGTTGAATATTGAAATTAATTGGTTTGTTAAGGGAGAAAATCTTTATTTTAATCGTACGTCTTACTTAATTTATTGATGTCAAAACAAAATTAAAAATTAACTTATTTGAGTTCAATATAGAGACAAAAAATAATATTTTTTCCTAAAACTTTATCACACAAAGGATGAAGCTGATGTTAGTTAAAATTGAAAATGAAAAATATATTATGAACAAAGTTATATATTTAAGTATAAAATTAAAAGAAAACCTCAAAACTCAGGAAGTCAAGAAGTCAATAAATTATTGGAAGAAATTAACACAATTATATAATTCGTAGTTTACTTGTATGCCACACGTTCTAACATTAAATGAATATTAATTTTCTTACATTATAATTCGTTTATTATTTAAATAAAGGAACCATATCATATTAGTCTCATTCAATAATTTTAAGAGGAGAAAATGAAAGCATCTTGTTATAGGATGTTTACAATTTGCCACATTGACGACTTGTGCTTACATACAACTAGTTCAGTAGGAGTCCAACTCGACGTCGACCATCGACAAATATCTTACTGATTCCAGATACCGAGTGCCAGAACAGTAAGATCACGCTTACCAAAGCTCTCGTATAAAAGCGGAGTCTCTAGCTCTTTTTCTCAAAGGTACATGATTTCTACATGACCTAATTAAGTTCGGCTCGGCACCAGCTATAACTAAGTTCAAACTTCTTCTAAATTTACGTGGCTGAGCATCACACCAATGCAAGATTCTGTATACGTGTTGATTGACCAGAAAGCTGACTTGTCAACTTGATTTACTAGAAAGCTGACGTGTCACCTTTTAAAAATAGACTATTTAAATTCCTTCATTTTATTTTTTATCTCATTTTTCGATAATAATTTTAGCTTGACATTTCACTCAATAAATTTTTATAAAAGTATTTCTATGGCATATAAAATTTATGTTAAAATATTACAAATAGGGACTAAAATTGTAAATTTTTAAATGTATACAGACAAAAACAGATATTTTAAAAATACATTGACTAAAATGAACAAACATTGAAAGTATATAGACAAAAATAAAATTTTTCAAAATATGCCGATCGAACCAAAACTAATAGTACAATGACTAAAATAGTATTTAAACCGAAAAGTTTTGAAACTAATTTACTTAGCAAATATAAGGAGGTAAGAAAATAAAATGGGGCAAGTAGAGGAATGACTATATTAAATAGAGTGATTTGAAAAATAGCAAAAAAGTATCCAATATCATAAAACTGGCTACCAGGTAGTTATAGTTCAATGTAGAATTTAATATAGACAAATATACCCTCCCACCAAAATAGCTAAATCATATCCTACCATTATCCTTCAAATTTCGTGGCAAAAATACGCTTGAAACAACTTTTTGCTACCGCTTGATTTTAGGAAATAAAATATTGAATCAAAATTTCAAAGTTCAAAATTTCAAAAATAAATTCTAGATTTAGAAATTTCAAAATTTCAAAAATAAAATCGGTTAAATAAATACTTTGTAATTAAAAAAATTAAAATACAAAAAAAATATGAAAAATGACCTAATAAAATGTAAATAAAAGTGGAAAATGAGTAGAAAAAATATGACTAAAATCAGATACTATTTTTAAAACTATGGAGGGGTAGCTACATTGAAAAACACGATAATTAATACCAAACTCACGAACCATCTTCTTCTTCCCAAAAAACGTAATTAATCAAAAAAGAACTTATTCATACGATGTATATAATAATACTTACGTGGTACTGAAAGTAGTTTACTTACACTATAATGAGCTACTTGCTTGCATCATTTCATTACTTAGTTTTTACTATGATTAAGGATAATCTCTATCTATTACTATGATTAAGGATAATCTCTATCTAATATAGGGTAAATACACTCGTATAGACAAAATAGAGACAGAGTAAGTAAAGATGCGTATAGAAAAGACAAGACAGAGAGTAAGTAAATAGGCGTAAGACAGAATAAAGACAAAGTAAGTAAAGAGACGTATAGATGGAATAAAGACAGAGTAAGTAAAAATACACACAGTACCTGGATTTTCTCAATCAGTCTTGCTGCAAAAGACAAGATGAGATCACGTGACTGCTCATTATGAATACAATGTCTCGTGGGGAAGGAGACTTGCTTTCCTTTCCAATCATCTTCTACTACTTTCTCTCAACTCTCAATAATTATATTACCTTAAATATCAATTCCTCCAATGTTTGCTTTTAATTTTTGCACATTACGACTCAAATGCACAAATTAAAATGGAAATCAAGTGTACAATTCGCACAGTCAAAGAATCAAACTAGAGCATAGCTTCATTTCGAACAAATGTGACAACAAACAGTTTGGATGACATATTTTGTGGCAGAAAACTATCAAGGAGAAAAATAAATTCTTCAGTTCTTCTATTGTTGAATTGAATTCTTCTTATAATCCGAATGCTTACCCGATGAATTTCAATTACGGAATTGGAGGCTCAAACTTTACAAGTCATTCTCTACTTGATTTGTTGATCTCTCCATGTCTCAAGGAACTTGAGATTGTTGGGTTGTTAAAAAATGGGGATGAATGAAATTTTTGTAAGAATATTTAGGAGACACTGTATTTAATAGTGATTGTAATGGATTTTACTAGCTAATTAATTAGGTTTGTTATAGATTTTAATTAGATTATGTTGGAAACAAATTAATAATATTTTTAAAAATTTTCAATGATATAGATAGACTCGGTTGTTTGATAATGTAGATTTGGTAGTTTTCGAATGTAAAGATGTTGTTGGCTTGGTTATGGAGAGATTTTAGGGATTTGACGGTTTGATAATGTGATTTCTAGAATATCTTTTGCGGAAAAGTGAAGGATTAAAATGGAAAAAAGGATGCAAGGACAATATAGGCATGAAATGTGCGAATGATAAATATGAAATTCTACCACTCTCCTAAAATTTAGGAAATCGAAGTATGACCATAAATGCAATTTGCGAACACTTTGGTCATTTTTCCATGTACGTAGTCATTCCTTGGGATTTCCCAAATTTTATTTGGGAAATCTTAAGAAATGGCTACATACAGGATATCATAATGAAAAATGACTAAAATGTTCGTAAATTGGATATATGACCATACTTGATTTTCTGAATTTTAGGGGAGGGGTAGAATTCCATATTTACCTCTCTGTACATTTCATGTTCATATTGCTCTGGCATCATTTCTCCATTTTACCCATCTAGTTTTCAACCACCCACATCCCATAAATCACATGATTAAACTATCAAATCTCTAAAATCTCTCCATAACCAAACCATCAAAATTTCTACATTGTAAAGCTACCAAATCTACATTATCAAGCAACCGAATCTACCTGTATCATTCAAACATTTTAAAAATATTATTAATTTGTCTCCAACATATAATCTAATTAAAATCTATAACAAACCTAACTAATTGGGTAGTAAATTCCGTTGCAATCACATCTTCTAAATATTCTTACACTCATCAATCCCATTTTTTATCAATCCAACAATCTCTAAGTTCCTTGAAACATGGAGGGATCAACAAATCGAACAGAGAATGACTTGTAAAGTTCCAGTCTCCGATTCCGTGATCGAAATTTATCTAGTAAGCATTTAGATTATAAGAAGAATTCAACTCAACAATACAAGAACTGAAGATTTTTTTCTTCTCCTTGATAGTTTTCTGCCACAAAATATGTCATCCAAACCGTTTGTTGTCATATTCATTCGAAGTGAAGCTCTACTCTAGCTTGATTCTTTGGATGTGCGGATTGTGTCATTTGAATCCCATTTTAATTTGTGCATTTGAGTCTTAATTTACAAAACTTAGAAGCAAATATTGGAATAATCGATATTTAAGGTAATATAATTATTGAGGGTTGAGATAAAGTAGTAGAAGATAGGGAAGATGATTGGAAAGGAAAATGAGTCTCCTCCCTCATGAGTCATTATAGTCATATAATAAGCAGTCATATGATCTCATCTTGTCTTTTGCAGCCTAGAAAAATCCAGGTATTGTGTGTATCTTTATTTACTCTGTCTTTATTCTGTCTAACGCATTTTTTCTTTATTCTGTTTATGTGCTTATTTACCCTATATTAGATAGAGATT